GGCTCATCTCTTCTTAAGGTCAGAGCTACAACAAAGTCTCTTCTTTGTTCTTGTGACAATGGGCATATAACCTTCCCAAGTCGTTATGCCACGGTGTGACTGGCCACCAGACTCAGGCTGAACCTGCAGTGTGAGGAGCTCAGACTCCGGGTGAACCTTCTAAATGTCTTTTGAGTGGTTCCTTCCTGTAAGGATGGCCTTAGGCCTTAGCCTAAGCAAGTCCATTTTAAAACTCCATTTTAAAATAAAACTGCAGTCTCACCAGGCAAGCCACAGAGCCCAGGTAAGAGAGTGAGGTCACATGTCATTTGTCATAACCCTGATAAGAGTCAAAAGTGTGATATCAGGGCAGAAACCACCAAACCACATGTCCTGACTCTAAGAATGAAAGTTGTCACTAAGAAACCTGGTAACAGCTGATAGGGACCCAAAGGATGCGCAGAAGCTCCAAGATTTAGTATGAATAATGGAACAAATGAACAGACATTCAGCCAGCTGACACGGACGCACACAGCCTGAGAGCCTGGTGAGCACCTGGACAGACAGCCCAGCTCTTCTCATCATCTGCCTGATCCTCTGCGTTGTCCTCACGGCTCTCAAACTCTACAGCAGCCTCCTGACCTGGTGAGAACAGCGACCTCTCCTAACACCCTCTCCTCACCAACCGTCAGCTCCACCCCAGGAGAAGCTATCGGTTCCTGGCCTGGGCGCTGTGGTCTGAGTAGACACCTGCTGGGTTTAAGACCTAAGACTCAAGACTTTAAATCTAGCACTTAAGCTCAGCATGCAGAGGGAATGTCTGTGATAGGTCTGTCGTGACTAAGTGTGTTTGCAGTGCTTAGAGCTAACTAAGAATTGCTTGCTTTGAACTGATTATGTCTACTGCAGTGCCCAGCATTAAGGATTGTCATTCCCTGATTAAGAACCTATAGTGAAACTGTATTGAGTGGTTTTGAGTGAATAAAGCATTGAAAATGGCAGATGTCGCACTTTGCCCATCGCAACACTTCCTCGGGTGGAGACCTGGGAAAAGGATCAGGTCGGAGGCTCTAGAGCTAATGGGAGACAGAGGGCAAGGGCAGTGGGTGGCGAGGTCCTCCCTCCTTACCCTGCACGGACAAGTGTGACTTTCTTTTGGATGCCTATGATGTTCATTGTATCCCCACCACCTTCAATGGCTTTTTTCATCCCAAAGCATCTGCTGAAAACCTGAGCGTCTTCACGGCCCGTGGTGGGACTCCCCCCACCCAGGGAAGCACTGAGTACCCGTCAGTGGTGTTCCACCCCAAAGTCTGGCACCTTCTTGGAAGGGCCCACATATTAAGGTGGAACATTATTTCTTGACCTTAGCCACAGGAAAGTTAACTTCATTTATTAGATCTTAACTTTAACAAATGGAACATTTTTTATCTTTAGAAACTTATGCCCTAAAAATAGTATATCAGACTAAAATAACACGTTCTATCCTAAAAATATGAAATTCAACAGCCAAGTTGCCATTGAACACCGGACGTGACAAGCCACATGGTGCTAAGACACAGCCTCACCTTTCTCAGCTTCTCCGGGGAGAACTCCAGGCCAACGAGGAAGAGACTGAAGAAGACCCCGAACTCTCCCAGAGTCTCCACCTGGACCATGGACTGCAGAGCAAGGGTGGAGAGGCTGTGTGAGTCCAGGCCTCCAGGGAAAGCCCCCACACCCACCCTGGTGCTGGTCCCCGGCAGGAAGCCCCCAACACTGGTACTTTAAAAGAGAACAATTCCTGGAATTTCTCCTACATCTGACGAGTTCTGCCCTCCGGGTCTTCCCCTTGTCTTGATTCACAGAGAAGCATGCTTCTCTCCGCTGTCTGCAAGCTGCTCTGGGCCTCCCCAGCACTGTTCACTGGCCACCTCTGGGATGAGGAGGCAGCTCACTCAGCGCTGCTCGCTCTTGGCTCCTGTTAGGGCCGAGCAAGTCCCTGCAGATGTATCTTCCCCCGAGTTCAATGCCCACATCCACAGTGTTGGTGAACAGCTTCTGTGACTGCTTTGACTCTTCATTTGGTATTTACTTTTAATGTTGTCACTAGATAAATAAATAGCACAAAATATTTGATGTCTCTGTCCTGGTGACTAACAGTTCAATCCTTTTTTTTTTTTTTTTTGGTATTGGGGATTAAACCTACAGGTGCTTAACCACTGAACCACATTCGCAGACCTGTTTATTTTTTATTTAGAGACAGGGTCTCACTAAGCTGCTGAGGCTATCTTTGAACTTGCCACCCTCCTGCCTCAACCTCCAGAGATGCTGGGATATAGGTGCCCAGCTCCATCTTTTAAAATGCTCCCATGGCACTGTCCTGACCCACTGAGCTGGCCTCACAGGTCAAGACCCCTTCCTGTTGTGACTGGCACCCCGCCGTCTGCCTTTCTCAGCTGCTGAGTGCTGCTTGGTGCTCTTCTTGGCGCTGTGGGTGAACCTCAGCTGCCGACAGTGCGCCTCCCTGCACTGGCTGGCAAACCCAGCCCTGCCCTTACCCACATCCAACTGCTCTCTCTCACTTCTTCCCGTCCCCTGATTGTGCTGTGACTCCAAAACAACAACCTGAACTCGGGAGTGGAAGCCTGAGCCCCCTGCACAGGGGCCTTTCCCACTCCTACAAGGTGCTCCTGGATGGCCATCTGCAACCACGCCTCCTTCCTCAGTGCCGCAACTTAGCGAGATCAGCGTCTGCAGCTCCAGGCCCTATGCCTTGAGCCTGCTCCCGCTATCTCTGCTGAGGAGGAAGAGGGCACCGTGTCTGCCTGGACTTGCTGACGCCTGGAAGGGTGGGATGAGGCAGGAAGCTCCCACCTGCAGCCTTCCCTGCTGCTGAGCCGCACTCGGTGCCAGTGCAGAAAGCCACACTGAGGGCCCTCTGTGCTGCCAGGGGGCGAGCAGCCTCCATGTGGCCCTGCGTCAGGTCAGCTGACAGCTCCCGGCTGAAGGCGCTGGCAGGCAGCTCTGCGGCTGGCCAGGGCCACCTGCTGCTCAGAGGAGCCCCAAATGGTCCCTCTTCAGACCCTTTCTGCTATGTCAGAAAAATCAGAGGTTCAAGGCGTACCAGTCACTAGTGGGGGAGCAGGGCTCCTCACCCCACGGCCCAGGACACACCAGCAAAGCTGGGGGGCGTTTGTGGCTCATCTTTAGCCTCCTGGGATGTTGAGTATGCTCAGATGACACGCTGGGAGGCCACAAGGCTTGGGACCCTTCCTTGCTGTCAGAGTGTTCACCTGTGACAAGCAGCAACTGGTCTGTGAGCAGCTCTGGCAAGTGCAGCCCGGGCCCTGCTGCCCTGGCAACGGGGCCACAGGCGCTCCTGGTGTACGTTGAGGACTGCACAAGCACAGGAGGGACCCAGCCCTTCCAACAGCTTGGCGCCTGAGGACGTCTGGGTGACTGGAAACAGAACCTTGAGGCTGATGACCATGGAGGCCAACGGCTGCCTTCTGCCCAGCGGCCCCTTCATTATGGAGGGCAATGCCTCCAGCTCTAGGGTGTGTTCCTGGCCCGGGGTGAGGACGGCTCTTCACTGACTCCAGTTCAGAGCTCTTGTCTGTGTGTCTCTCGGTCCTGTCCGGTATCAGAACAGTCAAGTTTTATTCTTACCTTGATGCTGTTCAGTCCTGACGGCCCCAGAAGCACACCGCAGATGATGTACCCAAACATGGTGGGCAGCCCTATTGCTGTGCACAGCCAGCCACAAGGTAAGGACAGCACTCCTATGGAGACAATGTCCTAGAGCGGAACAGACAAGCACAGATCAAGGCGACGGGTGGGCTGGGACGGCAGGATGACGGCCAGCCCCTTACAGGAACCAGCAGACAACAGGACTGAGAGGTTTTATACTGCTGTGTCTGCAGCAGAGCGCAGCACACCGTGTCGGGAGCAGAGGAGCCAGCTCTGGATCGTCCTGCTCACGCCCCACAGCATGCTCCACATCTCCCAGCCCTGGACTCCACCCATTCCTGGCCTCGAAGCCCTTGCAGATGGGGTCCTCCCTATGACTCTCCTGCTTGCCACCCACACGGGCAAGTCTTCCACAGGTGTCAGAACCATTGGGTGAGAACTTACTGGGAGCAGGCTGTTCACAGTCTCAAACACACCCCCAGACGCGACTCACTCATGGCAACGGGAGAAAGGGACTGCTGTGAAGGAGGCACGGAGTTGCTCTACGGACACGGCCTGTTCTTTCACAATCAAGGACAGCAGGACACAGTCCCGGCCAGCGCCTGGGAGGAGCCCTCTTCCCTGGAACCGAGGCCACGCCTCTCTGTTTGGTTTCTGTTCCTTGCAAGGCTCTGCCTTAAGAGTTCTGTGGAGATCTGAGCTTATCTGATCCCTCCAGGCCACCTGGAGGGTGCACTCCACTCCAGACTGGGCCAGCTTCCTGGGAGGACACAGATCTACATCCGTCTACCTGGAATGCAACGCCCTGTGCCCCACGTCCACACTTCTCTGCCTCCAAGGGCTTTCTCTTTCATAGAAAAGAGTTTGTTTTCTTTAACCTCAGGTTATAATTTTAGATGGCGCCTTGCTATGTTGCTAGACTGGTCTTAAACCCCTGGGCTCCAGCAATCCTCCTGCCTCAGTCAACGGCTCAAACAGGTCTCAGACACCGAGAGCTTTAATCTCATGATGGTCACTCCAAACTTCAGAAAGTCCTCCAAATTCTCCAAAACAGAATCAAATTTCATCTTAAATGTCAAAATGCCTTTTTCCTTAGAAACAATTAACTAAGGGATGCTGTCTTGAAGCCCAGCATGGGATGCCAGCATTCTCTGGCAGGAGGAAGGCTGTGCACCACCCCCCTCCGAGGGGGCCCCGCATCAGGTCAGGCCTGCTGACTGCCCAGCGAGATGGGCGGGTGGCCTCAGCTTGCCTTTATGAAGTGGTGGTCTGCACGTGGAATGGTGGCGTCCCGGGGCTTTGTGAGGACATACTGGTTATTCTGGGAGTCGATCAGCATGCTCAAGCCCAGGCCCTCCTCCACATCCCGCTTTGTGATGTTCTGCTTGGAACTGGCCTCTTCCTCCTCCACCCGCAAAACTGCCTCAAAGTTGACCCCTTTGACCTGTGAGAGTGACCAATATCATGCAATCAGAATCATGTTGATGCTTTTGCAGTCAACATCAAGAGGAAAGAACATACATCAAGGTAGACGTGTTCACATTGTGTCTAACAAGACAGAAGACCACCAGCATGATGAAGGCACTCGCTCAATGAAGCATTTCTGGGCAGAAGCAGCCGCTGCTACTTCCAGACATCCGCTTGACCTGATGCAGGGCACACGCTCACACTTGACCCCAGAAACTGAGAATTTAAATATCAGTTTCCGTTTCTTTCTCTCCACCCTTTCGTGGGTCCACCCCTAGACCCACAGCCAGTCCTCAGCTGGCCTTGATCTCGCCCCAGGGTCTTAGCCTGTCAGAACTGAGCAGCTGGAACCTGCTTCCTCTGATCAGGAAGGAACCCTCCAAGCCTCCTGAGGCTACAGTCCCAAGCCCCCTGAGTGGCCAAGCTGGGCTGGCAGTGAGTGCCAGGGGGTGAAGGAGCAGGTTGGCCGCCCACTCCTGCAGCCCCTGCCAGAGTACCAGCGTGTCGCTCGCAGACCCTGAGACACAGCCGAACCGATGGCCAGGCCCAGCAGCTCGGCTCGCAGGGCAGAGGCGCCGGAAGGCAGCTTACTGATTTGTTGTCATCGAAGGCATGCTCCTCTATCTCCTCCTCTAAGCGATCTGCCGCCCTCCTCACGTCCTCGAGGATCTCGTCCAGCATGGAGAGGCTCTTGTTCTGATGCTGCATGTGCTTAAGGGCTTCCACCTGATGTTTTTCTGCGGCGAGAAGTTCCACATACTCGGTCTCTTCCTATTTGTTCGTAGGAAAGAGCAAGATACATTACAAGAAAAACCAGGAGGGGACTCATCTGCTCAGGGTCCTGGTGACTAGACCCACCACCGGTGCTCCAGGTCAATGCCCCACCGCTGCACTGTGACTGACTGCCCAGCAAAGGAGGTCAAGCATCCCAAACACAGGGAGCTTCGGAATGTGCAGGGACAGCATCTGCACCCCAGGGAAGGCCGTGTCCACTGCAGGTGGGTCCAGCTCAGGGAAATCATCTGCACCTCCACCCTGGGGAAGGCAGTGTCCACTGCAGGTGGGTCCAGCTCAGGGAGAGCATCTGCACCTCTACCCCGGGGAAGGCAGTGTCCCCTGCAGGTGGGTCCAGCTCAGGGACAGCATCTGCACCTCCACCCCTGGGAAGGCAGTGTCCACTGCAGGTGGGTCAAACATCCCTTAAGGTCACCTCACAAACTGCCAAGTGCTGCCGCTCAGGAAGCACATCCCTGCCTGAAAGCCAGCAGCAACACCTGGTGTGTAGCTACCTCTGGGATTTCTACAGCAGGATGTGGTCCCATCCCATCAGACAGGGGCGACTAACGGGTCCAGAAAAACACGTAAAGTAGAAAGTGTTGGTTATTTGGGACACTCATGGGCAGTGCTGGTCATCACGCTTAGTAAACATACTTTACATAACCCTAGTCAACTGATAACCTTACTTTTAAAACGTTTTCTCATGTTTCAAGAAGGGAACCTGGCTGGGACCGAGCCGTGGCCAGCTACCACAGCAGTGTGGCTCTTTTGTGATTGCTGTAACCCCTGTCCCTTCCCAAGTGCCCCAACGGTGGCTGCTGACACCCTGGAGGACCACAGAACCCTGAGGCATGACAGGCACAGGCTGCAGCATGCAGGGTGTCACATGGCCTACAATTCTGGACTGTGGCCACCAGACTCACAAGTCTTCTCCCTAACAGACGACTGCAAACCTGGAGTCCACCGGAATTCCTCTTATAACCAAAGGGTCGGGGCTGGAGTTGTAGCTCAGTGGTACAGTGCTTGCCTAGCATGTGTGGGGCACTGGGATCAATTCTCAGCACCACATCGAAATAAAATAAAGGTCCATCAACAAATTAAAAAATATTAAAACAAACAAAAAAGGGTCTTAGCACCTCGACTGTCCCAAGGTTGAAACATGGGCAATACGCAGGCAGCAACAGGCAGGCAGCCAAGTCAGGTCACTGAATGCCTTGATTTGAATGCTTGTCTGACTGTTGTATCCTACCAAAAAACACCCTTGTTTTGGTGACAGTCATAAGAAAGTTATATCTCCTTTCAAGCCGTGACAGCCTGAGGTCTTCCATGAAGGGGAAGTGGCACTTGCTCGTCGGAGCCTGGGTGTGGCGCCTGGCAAGCTGCAGGTGCTCGGCAGTGCCTGTGGAAACACTGGCACAGTGGCCCCCTTTAGAAGCACACTTGGTCCAAAGCCTCACCTCACGTGCACACATCTGTTTATAAGTATTTTTATATTTTTGTTTTTGTTGTAAGGCAATGAAGAACACAGGCTTCACTCAGAAAAGAATATGGCAAGAGACCCAGGTCACAGCTGCAGCCAGCGTCCCTCAAGGACGATGGCACTGTGTTCTGAGAAGTGCCTGGAAAGGCAACTCTGCCGCTGCACGTAGGCCAGAATCCTTGCACACACTGGGCTGGTCAGGGAGTCACCGGTGGACACTCTCAGGCCCACTGCAGGTGGCCGAGCCCTCACAGGAGCGCAAGGCTGCAGGCATTCCCGCCCATCAGTGCTCAGCCAGACTCGGGGATCTCCACAACAGAGTGCTGAAGGGCTGGCCTCTCCTAGAAGTGACTGGCACCCCAGAGGCTCCCGAGACCCCCCGCCCCACCCCAGATCACAGCTCTGGGCAGGACTGGCCACATGGCTGACCTTGATGGCGGCCTCCCGTAGGGCCTCCAGCCGCTGCCTGCTGCTCTCCTTCATGTTGACCACGTCTCTGTAATCCCCCTGCAGGGCTCTCTGCAGCCCGTGGATGGCCTGGAAGACGGAATTTTCACTTTCATTCAGTTCTTTCTGGAAAATCTCAAACGTGTGCACCTGGAACAGCTTCTCTTCATCTGACAGGCCAGCATCTTTTTCCACGGCTCTGATAGCACTCTTCAGCTTGTTGAGAACAATACTCTTCTGCCGAAGGAGCCCGGTGAGCTTCCTGCAGCTGTCCAGGGCCCACTGCCTCCTCTGGGCGGCAGGTGCTCCCTTGCCGCGGTGCAGCTTGATGGCATGTTTTGCCACCTCCGCATGCTCTGTGGCACTTGCCACCAAGCAGAGGGCCAGGAGCAGCATCCAGAAGAGACTCTCCTCCAAGGCCCTCATGGTCCCAGCACAGCAAGGGCTCCAGACGGCAGCTCGGGTCAGGCTGCATCTTACATGCACATTTTCAGCTGAAAAACAGATTTCCTGTCACACATGGCTGAACTACAGCTCACGGCTACTGACCTGAGTTAAATACCAACAACATCCAGGACACTGTAAGCTTTCTAAAGGAAACGCCATTTTTCCTGGATCACTAACAACATCTGAACCACTTCAATCAAACACTAAGTGATGAAGTAAGAGCCTCTTAGGGTGCCTGGCACAGAGGGGAGATTAAAGGTCAGTTATATCTCATTTTAAAGGTGATTTTTAGAAATCTTAAGCTTTGTATTTCTACCAAATCTACCATGTATGAAAGATAAAGGCCAGTTCTACCCAAGAGGGACTATACATATCAAAGCCCAGAAAACACCATCTCAGGTTGGCAAGCCTCTGGGACCATGTTCAGGAGCATTTCAGAAAGGCCATCTCCTGAGACATGGCCCCTCAGTCACACTGCTGGCTTTCCAGAATCACTTGGAGTCTTGCCAAATTTCCAAAGTCAGCACAGTTAAGAGCTAATAAGAGATGAAGATAGAAAAATTTTAAAAATAATAATAAAATACCTATAACCCCTGCTAACTGTTCAAGCCTTTTCTATCACAGAAACTCAGAGCTGGATTTCAGTGCATCTTTTAGAAGCCAGACCCTGGAAGGACTGAGCTAATGCAGCACAAGGACGGCTGCAGCTCAGCTCCTGGCAAAGCACCCATCTCTACGATGCCAGCTTCGAGCCCGCGGCAGAGCAGTGAGGACCTGCTGGGAGGAGACCTCCAGACCCAGACAGAAATCTGAGGCGCTTCCTTCATGCTTCCCATCTGCCCCAGAACGTCTCCAAAGGTGATTTTTTTTGCAGTACTAGGAATTGAACTAGGACCTTCACATGCTGGGCAAGTACTCTACCATTACGTAAATTCCCAGCCCTAAAAGTGGTTCTTTTGTGGTTTCATGCTTCAGAAAAACAACTTGCAATGCAGTCTGCACGTGCCACCTCTCTGTGCACACTTCTGGTTCTTTCCTCAACCTGGTTCTGGAAATTAAAGTTACCCCTCTACCCCCACACCTAAGGGAGTTACTAATTTTTCTTTTAGGATTTCAGTTGTAGTCACATTGATATTCACCACTGAGATGTTTCGTAACATGAGCATGATATTGAAATTACATATATACATACATACGTGTGTGTATATTTACTTATTATTTAGTTATTTATTTAGTACCAGGGATTGAACTCAGGGGCACTCAACCACTGAGCCACATCCCGAGCCCTATTTTGTATTTTATTTAAAGACAGGGTCTCACAGATGCTGAGGCTGGCTTTGAACTCACAATTCTCCTGTCTCAGCCTCCCAAGCTCCTGGGATTACAGGCCTGTGCCACTGTGCCCTGCACTTATACATTCTTAATGCACATCACTCATTTTACTTTCAAGCCTGTCTACAAAATCCTATGGACTACTAAATTATACCACGTTTTCTCTTGAGCAAACTTTAAATATTTTTACTTCCAGTTGCTATTTTTTTAGTTGTTGACAAGACATTTGGATTCTTGTAATAGTGAACTATCGATATGTTCAACAACATGAACAGATCTTGAGGCTGAGTAAAGGGACCTCCAAAAGCCACATACTACACAATTCCCTTTACATAAGTGCCTCACAGTGGCACAGGACGCAGGACAGATGAGTGGCTCTCAGGGTGAGGGAGGGGGAGAGGTGTGGCTAAAAGGGACTAGGATCCTCCAGGGATGGAAATGCTGGAAGGAGCCAGCATAGCCCCTCACCTGCACTCACTGGAGCACACACAAGGCAAGGGAGTCCGCCAGTGGGTAGGCATGGGGTCCATCTGCGAACAGGCCAAGCACAGGGATGGCTGCAGCTCTACAGTGCAGCCTACCAGTGACACTTTTTATTTACAAGAGCAAAATCACCACTTTGAGCCAAGCACGGTGGCAAATGCCCATCATCTCAGAGATTCCAGAGGCTGAGGGAAGGGACTCATAAGTCCAGCCACAGCTACTCAGTGAGATCTTAAGCAGCTCAGCAACACCCTGTCTAAAAGTAAAGGACCAGTATGTAGCTCAATGGTAGGGCACCCCTGGGTTCGATACCCAGAGCACGGGCCCTCAGGTCCGGGGACAGCACATAGCACCTGCTAGAGAGCACAGGGGACAAGCATCGGGGCAGTGCTTTCAGGGACCCTCCATGCTCTGCGTCTGCATGAGTTCTGAGAAGCTGGTGCTCTCCTTGGCCTATCAGATAACTTCTGCCCTCTCGTCCTTGGGACCTGTGCAACCCATTTGCTCAGTGTGCACCAAGCCACACTGTGGGAAATAAATTCGACTTAGCCATCCCTAGAGTGTGAAGTGGCACCATCAGGTGGGTCTATCAGGTAGATGCCACAACCGAGATGGTCCCTACCAGGCCAACTTCTCTCCTGAGTGTGCAAAGCTGGGGGACAGCTGTGGGGACAGCCAGCTCCTGGTGGCTACCTTGGTCCATTCAGCTGAAGCTAGGGCCCTAGTGAGTGGGAGGGCAGCTCCCTGTGGGTCTCCGGCAGGGAATTCCTGAGCCTGTGGTGAATGTGTAGGGAGCTGAGTACGTGTCTAACAAAGAGTCATCTAGCTTCTCCTGCAAGAGAAAAAACAGGAGGTGCCTCTGATTTCTTCACATTACTGCCACATGTCCAAGTTCAGCACAGGCAGCATTTGTGCGGGCAAAGAGGAAGAGAGCCACGAGCAGGCAAGACCACCTCAATGGAGTGAGTGACCTGAAGTCTCTTTATGGAGCCTTTTTCTTAAAGACCAATTTTAAACTCTAAAGTACATTTCCTAAAAATGGAGCACTTATGATCCTACAAATAAACTGACAGTTGCCAAAAATGAAATAAATGATTTATAAATACATTACTCATTTCAAATTAGTAAAAGAATTAGAGAACAAGGAGGAGGAAGGAAAGGAAAAGAAGGTAATTACTGAGGCTATTAAAAAGCTTTAAACTATAAAACCTCTAGAAAAAGCAAATATTTCATTAGTTAATCCAATCACGAGATTCTACTGTTTGACAAAAAACAGACAATATGCAAGACCAATAAGTCCTGGTTCTAAGAATGATCAGGAAAATGTGCAGAGGCTGAGCAGGAAAACAGGGATGTGGTGTGCAACCTTGAGTGTCCCTCAGGGTGTTTAAATAGCTACTGTTTGCTCAGGTGGTACCAGGTGAGACTGTCAAAGAACAGAGAGAAGCAGGGCCATCCAAGGAGCTGCAGGCCAGCTGCTCGGGTTTGCTCCTCCTTCAGTGCCAAGAAAGCCAACAAGGAAGGAAAAAGGAGACTCGTGAATAAGTGCCCTCTCAGCAGCAAGAAACCTGTACTAGGTGGCCAGGAGGTGAACTGGCTAGTAAAGACCAAGTCACAAAGTCTACCCAGTCCCCCTTCTCCTTCTGAAGGGTTGCAAGAGGCTGCAAAGGAGCAAAAAGAGGTGGGACAGTGAGGCGGGCAGATATGCTAGACCTTCTGTCACTTTGGACTTATTTAATTGGTCACTCCCAAACAGTTCACAGCTAGGTTATGAACTAAGGCCTCCCAGGGGATGTGCAAACCATCCTGGTTATTTTGTCTACTCTGACACCTTCCAGGCTCTGTCAGCTTAGGTGAAAGGCTTGCGGAACACCGTATGCTGGCCCTGATCAGCAAACCTGGGTCTGCTGCCGGGTGTATCTGTCTTTAAAGAGACGGTAAAGGACGACTGCTAATTCGCCTTAACACAGGGCGAGACAGACCAGTAAGGGGGGGCAGGATAGGTAACCTCTTAGTGCCCATTAGGGGAGGGGAGCCCCCAGGAAGGAATCCTCTGGGAAGGGGAGCACCCACCAAGGAGAGACCCAGGAGGATTGTTCCAGAGGGAAACCTGCCCCACCAAAAGTAGCTCTCAGGGAAGAAAGCCCCACAAGCCTACACCCACCCAGGAGGAAGAATGCCCACGAGAAGAAGCCTATCAGGGAAGATTCCCCCGACGCTCCCAGAGAAGATGCTCCCTCAGGGAAGAGCCCCTGTGGGAAAGACCCACACACACAAAGGAACGCCCACTCCGGGGGGGGCCCTGGTGAAGGAGGATCCCCAAGGACGCCCCACCAAGGAGCCCCAGGCAGGGAAGGGGCGTCTCCTGGGCGGGAGCCCCTCGCAGGGAAGGGGCGTCTCCTGGGCGGGAGC